CAAGTGGAGCCTGGGATTCTGCCTTTCTAACAAACAACCTCTTAGTATATAGCTGGTGGCTATCATTTATTATTTTTAAGCCACAACAGTCTTGTAAGAAAGATACATATTATTGTTTCCATTTTACAGATAAGAAAATGAACTCAGAAGTTGAGCAAATAAGCCAGATTCATAGAATAATAAGTTGCAGAATCAGGATTTGAACACAGTTCACTCCAATACCCAAACTGGGCTCTTTCTACTCTACTGCACTGGATGTCTGGAATAGGAAGAGATCAGTTGGAATATCAATAATGTATGGATGAGGCGCAAGTAAGATTTCAGGGTCAGAGGAGCTGCCTGGAGTATATTTGGGTCTAAATCTTGAGGTTATCTTGGAAAGCTGATCAGTGACTAAGAGGAAAGGTGTGAGACTGAACTATCAGGTAGAAGTCAGATGATAGTAGTAGAGAGAACTCAAGATTGGAGGAGGTCTAGAAAGTGGCTCACCTCTGATCAGGATAGACTCCAGAACTGGGCTCTGTATACTGCTGAGGTCTACACTTGAGATCATGCCTATTGTTGACTCTTCCTGAATTCTCAGTTACTGTACTGGGAATAATGAATGGTGTAGCATCAATGCTATCCCTGAAGGGCCAGTGTAAGGGTTTAGGGAGGTGGGTAAGGCTCTGATCATACGGTTACCTATGAAGGACTATGGATAGGTGACCAAATTCCTTTCCAATACTTTTCAGCAGAATATTAGGGAATTTCCATGACCTTAGTCAAAACACGTGAGATAATTTTTTTTTGTCCTTAGCACCTTTTATTGAAGTATGACCCTTGATGACAATCTGGCAGGCATATCAATGTCAGCCAAGCAGGGAGTGGTGGAGGACACAAACGCAGAAACAATAAGATTCAGAAAAATAATAGCTTCACATGGGATAGATGACCACCCCAACATTTGTACAACAACACTGGTTCTTTCTCTATAGAAATTGCCCCCTGCCCCACCCCCCTCTAAAGACCTACTAATCTTCAAAGAATACAATATGCTGTTACAGAAATATTATTGGCATAGACAATTCCTTTGGCAAAGACAGAGGGAGACATCAAGCTCCAGACAGGAGAAAGTGGCCAGAAATGTGCCCAGCTTCCTCCATTTGGGGCCTGCTACTGGCAGAGCAGCACCTTTAGGGAGGCTGGGGTTAAGGCTGTGGCTCCGGTCCCCCTCGGCAGCTTTTTGGCACATGAGGTGAAATGGAAAACAGAACCTGAACCTGGCCTTGAAAGAGGCTTTTCATCTTTTCACCCTCTCCGTTCCTCAGCTTCCAGTCTCTCACTTTCTAGGGCTTTTTTTTTCAGTGTCTCTGTCCTTTTTCTTGGCTTCCCCTTGAGCATTTACTGCTCTACCCTGGCTGAGTCTGCAGCTGGTGGGACTCAAGGAGACTCAATTACCCAGAGCCCCTTACACTGATTCCTCTCTAAATTTCAACAACTGTGCTTACACATTACCCACTGTGGCCTGTATGGGGAAATCCCTTGCCCTGCCTTCCAAACTGCTACTCCCTGGCAGGCCTTGGTGGAGGGCTGAGCACAGGAAACGAGAAGGGGCAAGAGATACTGCATCTCAAGTAATACCGGCGGCTTTGCAGTGCTATCACTCATGATGGGCCTGCCACGTCAGCACTGTGGGGCATCTGTGCCTGTCTGGTAGTTCACCTTTGTCTGCCGAGCTTCACTGCTCAATATAGTATTAAGTGCTTTGGAAACTCCGTGTGAAAATGAGCATTCTTGTACTCTGATCCCAACTTTAGAATAATTGGAGGTGGGATAAGGGACACAAATAACAAAGTCAATAGTACTTTTAGTCTGATAAACCTAGGATACAATCATTCTAATGCTGACTAGAAAAGCCCAGACCATGGTCATGGTGTCCAGGCAAGTGGCCACTTTTTTCCCTGGGCTATATTCCCAAAAAGCTGTTCTGGAAAAAAAAAAAATATTAGAATGTTGGACTACATTGGCCTCATCCTCCCCAATACAGGACATCTCCGCCTGCTCACTTTTTAAGAGCCTGTTTACAAAAAAAAAAAAAAAAAAAAAAAAAAAGGGAACCCCACCCTCTTTTAAAAGCATTCCCCCATCTCATGCAACCTTGGCTTAGGTAAACCTAGCCCTTTATAAGCCATCAGCCTTCCTGAATAGAGTAGAATCCTCCACTTGATGGGAGAATGGCAGGTTGACATTTTAACAGTGGTTCTGACAGCAGCAGTGTACTAAGAGCATACTCAGGGCACCCCTCCCCACAGGACACCCTGCTGGCCAAGATTCTTCCATTGTTTCCAAATACAATGAAGAGGAAACGGAAGCTAGCAACCAGTATTTGTAGCAGCAGCAAAGTTCCTTGGCAAATTCTTTCGTTGAATGAGGCACCCCTGCTGCTACAGTTAACCTCCAAGGACCCTGAGGAACTGAGCAGTAACTAGAAGCGATGGCAATGCCGGGTTGGCTGCACAGGGCTGTGCAATACCAAGCATGGGCCCCAGTTAGCAAGGAACAGAAGCCTGAGCTGGGTAACAGGGCAGCATTTGGCCACAACTCCCTTCCTGCCATCACCCACCTGAGGGCTTTTCCAGGATAGAAACTGGCTACCGGTGGCCACAGCAGCAGCATTCATTATTTGTGTGCCTAAGATCCCGGCTGGATTATAACTTGCTCTGGCAGGCTGGCCCTGGCTGGAGCTTCCAGCTACCATGAATTTCGGTTCCTCGAGCCAGGCCACAGGATAAGAAAACAATTAGATAGAGGAGCTCTTCCTGAGATCACCTCTACACCTTCCTTAGCTTGGAAATGGTAGAGAAATGGGTGAACCTTTGTCCCTTTCAGATTTCTTTGGTTTCAAGAAAAAATAAGAAGCAGTTGAAGCCTGTTGGGGAACTCTAAGCTCATGGTCATCCAGACTTCAAGGGAAGTATATGGCCAGGCCACAGTGGGGAAACTGAGCTTGAAGTGAGAACTCCTTCCTTAGACACTTGTTAGCTATGGTGGGAAGAATTCAAGGCCTTGGCACTTGCTTACCTAGCCATGGTGAATTCAGGCTGATCTGCAGAAAATGCTTTCCTTCTGGGCTAACTTTTCCCTCTCCAACTCCCCTCTTCTTACCTTATTAGTTAAAAAAGAAAAATAAACCATCAAGACATAAAAATAAATAAAATCAAAAGGCCATTTAAAATATAACAACAACCCCCTCCCCCCAATAATAAAAGATGTATCCAGAAGTCAGCTTTAGTAGAGCTATTCATGGCCCATAGTGTGAAGCCCTTAGGGTAGGCACCTATAACTCCCAGCAGTGAAAAGGCAAGATGAAACAGGAAGTGGTAGGCCAAAGTCTTAGGACAGGACGAGGGCCACACTAGCTGGGGCTGGAGATAGGCCTCCTCCCCCTCAGCTAGATAATGGGGAAGGCAGGGGTAGAGACAGTTTGTTTAAGCATAGCTCCTTCTAGCAGGGCATCAGCTGATTCCCAACCTCTGCTCACATTCTGTTAAATGTCATTTCTCCTTCTGTGCTTCCTACTGCAAAGCTGGGGTGAGGCCCTGAAGCTGGTGGTAGGTGAATGCCCTCAAGACAGCCAGATCTCTGTGGGAAATGGCTGGGCCACAAGCCCTGGGGAAGAGTGGAGCTGCACAGGCAACTTCTCTCTGAGACTTCAAAGGCTGATGATGGTGTGTGTGTGGGAGGGGCTGAGTACATGATGTTCCTGGTGTCCTAATACAAAGGATAATGAAGGCACTTTGTTGGTCCTGTGTGTGGTGAATGCTTGGCTGTGCAAACTGTGGGAAGGAGAGTGTGGTTGTATGATCACACTTTGCTGCAGCTCCTGCTTCTTGCTTCTACTCCCTTGGGTAGAAGCTTGGTGCCTCCCCAGGTCCTCTTAGCTGGTTGGGAACACTGCTAGGTTAAGGGGTAGTGAGAGACATCCAGGGTAGAGAATATGGAACAAACTGCTAACTAACTGTTATCTACTTGCTAACAAAGTGCTAACAAGGATTGAAAGCGTTTCCCATTATGGCGGGGCAGGGATGGTGCAGGCAGTCTGCTGGTGGAATTAGAAATTACTGGGCCCCAGGAGTAGGCTCTCCCTGAGACATTTGAGTTGCTCTTCTCCGAGCTTGATCTTCTCTTCCAGCTCTCGCTGTTCAATGATGAGAGCAGATTTCATCTTCACAAAGTGCTGGTAATCTTGGAGCTGGTCCTGAGGCAGATAGCGGGAGACCATACCAAACACCAGCTTCTCCCGTCGCTCCATGTGCTCCTTCAGCTCCTTGGCATCTGCCAACTGCCCTGTCAGCTGCTGCTTCTTCTCTATCAGCACCAACTGGGGAAGCAGAAGACCAATAAGGCTATCCCAATGACCAGTCATCTGCCCGACCCAGTGCTCCACCAGTGATGCTCCCACAAAGCCACTAGCCCCTTTGCTCAGTGATCAGTCCTAGATTTCTTGCCCTGAAGTCCACCTTCATGCAAAAGCCTTTCTTTCCTGTAGCAAGGGGAGGATAAACATGACAGCAATTCTGGATGGGGGATGAGCAATCACCTCTTTCTATCTCTAAACTGTTGTTAATCTGTGGACCACCACTGGGATTGGGGTGGGGGAAGGCTCTGACAAAGCCAGCTTGTACACCTTCCATCCGGTAAAAAAAAAAAACATCGCTGTGACGATACTTTCAAAACAGTGTGTGTCTCTGTGTGAGTGTGTGTGTGTGTGTGTGTGTATGTATCCATGTGTGGTGTGAGCTTCTACTCCCTTGGGTAGAAGCTTGGTGCCTCCCCAGGTCCTCTTAGCTGGTTGGGAACACTGCTAGGTTAAGGGGTAGTGAGAGACATCCAGGGTAGAGAATATGGAACAAACTGCTAACTAACTGTTATCTACTTGCTAACAAAGTGCTAACAAGGATTGAAAGCGTTTCCCATTATGGCGGGGCAGGGATGGTGCAGGCAGTCTGCTGGTGGAATTAGAAATTACTGGGCCCCAGGAGTAGGCTCTCCCTGAGACATTTGAGTTGCTCTTCTCCGAGCTTGATCTTCTCTTCCAGCTCTCGCTGTTCAATGATGAGAGCAGATTTCATCTTCACAAAGTGCTGGTAATCTTGGAGCTGGTCCTGAGGCAGATAGCGGGAGACCATACCAAACACCAGCTTCTCCCGTCGCTCCATGTGCTCCTTCAGCTCCTTGGCATCTGCCAACTGCCCTGTCAGCTGCTGCTTCTTCTCTATCAGCACCAACTGGGGAAGCAGAAGACCAATAAGGCTATCCCAATGACCAGTCATCTGCCCGACCCAGTGCTCCACCAGTGATGCTCCCACAAAGCCACTAGCCCCTTTGCTCAGTGATCAGTCCTAGATTTCTTGCCCTGAAGTCCACCTTCATGCAAAAGCCTTTCTTTCCTGTAGCAAGGGGAGGATAAACATGACAGCAATTCTGGATGGGGGATGAGCAATCACCTCTTTCTATCTCTAAACTGTTGTTAATCTGTGGACCACCACTGGGATTGGGGTGGGGGAAGGCTCTGACAAAGCCAGCTTGTACACCTTCCATCCGGTAAAAAAAAAAAACATCGCTGTGACGATACTTTCAAAACAGTGTGTGTCTCTGTGTGAGTGTGTGTGTGTGTGTGTGTGTATGTATCCATGTGTGTATGCACAAGCATATGTGCCTTTCACTGTGGGTTCAAATTTGTATCCAAGAACCACTGGATAGAAAAAGGCAATGCCATTTGGGTTCAGGAATTATGCAGAGTGTCCCAACCTATGAAATTGACAGACTCCCAATCTCAACTACTTGCTACTATTACTACTACTAGTACTGGCAACTAGCAATGATTTAGTGTTTATCTTGTTCCAGGCTATGTTTTAAGTCATTAACATGGATTATCCAATTTAAGTTTCACAACCCCATGAGGTAGGTAGTGTGTTTACCCTATTTTTGAAGGGATGGAGACAGAGCGAGGTTAAGTGAATTGCCCACAATCACACAGTTACTTAGTGGTAAAGTCAGAATTTCCACTTAAAAGCCAGTGCCCATACTCTTTACACTATGCTCTGCTGCCTCCAGACTAGCCAAACTTGAAAGAGGGATCCCTGGGAAGAAGCAGATGGCACTTCCCTCCATCCACACCCTGGAGACCTCAACCCTACCTTCTCCTGGTTGGCCTCTGAATCGATGCTGTTGAGAGCATTTTCCACACGGGCCAGTCGACCAGAGAGTGACAGCAACAGGTTGACTACTTTGTCCAGGTCCCCAATAAACAAACGGTATTTTTCAAACTCATTGGATTTGCAGACGGCTTTTAGGTTGGTCTCCACCTCCTCCCCAAGGGCAGAATTGGCAGTGATGTCCTCCAGCAATCCTCGCTGGGCCTCCTGCAGGACAGAAAGTTTTCTGCTAATGCTTTCGATGAGCTGAATCTAGGAGAAATAAACAGGAGAAGCAATGGATGAGAATGGGGACTGACAGAAACGGATCTGTCCCTGGAACCGCTGTTTTGAGATCTAAATAACTGAAGGCGGGCTCTACCCTAGTCACCAGAAACAAAGGAAACCTGAGCAAGTCGTGAGCAATTCCAGTTTTCTGGACAGGCACCTTTTTTCCCATCTCTTCAGATCTGCTAGGAATCTCTGTCACCACCAAACTTCTTGGCATTAGATGAGTGGTACCCATTGGCTAGTTCTCGTTTGCCAAATGTAACTTACTAAATACTTGCTGAGGCTATTTAATAAACAGAAATGCTTGTGAGAGCATAGGTAAGAAAAGCACTGCCATCAAGTGTTTGCCTATTACTTCATTCATTCTCCTTCAATCCCTTTCAGTACCTCTGATGTTGATGACACTGTGCTAGATCTTCCCCCACTCAGCTTGGCTCTTGAGGTCTTTTGGATAAAAGTGTGAGTCCTGGAGTCACAATGACTAGGTTTGACTGCTAGCTCTGCCACTTCCTAGCTGTGTGACCTTAGGTGAATTTCTGTATGGAGTTTTGCTTTCTTTATCTGCAGAATGGGGTAACTGCAGTACCTACTTCACTGAATTGTAATAAGGGTTCAATGAGATAATGCATACCAAGGGTTTAGCACAGACTAAGTGCTCAGTAAAAGCAACTGCTATGATTATGATTCAGTCTGGCCTCACCCTACCATTCTAATCTCACTCCTCAGAACCTCTGAGGATTAGCCCTTCATGCTGTGTTCACAACACTCATTCTTATATTCCTGATTTGCTTATGCAGTTCTGCCAGCTCTTTATCTCTTCCTTCACTTTGGCTATTCCCATTCTTTCTTCAGAGCCCAGCTTTGCCCCTACCCTCCCTGCTGGAAGCCCCTGCCCCCATAACTCCTCTCTCAATGATCTTTTTCTTTTCTAAACTCTCCAGTCTTTTAGAATGAGAACCTTGAGTGTAATTTGAGGTTGTTCACTTTCTGTTTCCTGTGTGTGCATCTGATCCCTCTCCTACTACTGACTGTAAGTTTCTCAAGGGAAGGACTGCTTGTGTCTTCCCATTTGTCTCCCCTATAGGTGTAACCAGTTGTGGGACTGCACTCACAGGAAGGTAGTGTGGTAGAGTGGAGTTTTAGAGTCAGAGATGCCTGGATTCCAATTCCACATCCTCCAAACTGTGTGACCTTGGGCAAGATACCCAATCCCACTGAGACTTCTGTTTCCTCATCCGTAAATTGGAGAAGTGCCCCCCACCAACCGTCCATTGTTGTGAGGGTTAGATGTGATCATAGAAGTAAAGTACTTAGTATTGTGCCTGGCACGTTAAGTGCTCAATATATGTTTATTGATGCTGTTACTACTACTACTTCTACTATTACTACTACTACTACCACCACCACCACCACCACCTGGCACTCTGAGCTAATGGATACCTGTCTAGCTGCAAGATCCTGACAAGAATAGACCTGTCCCAGGTTTCTCCCAGCCTTTGCAGTCAGTATTGCATTATGGTCAATGGCATGGACTCTAGTTCCAGACTACCTGGGTTTGGACCCTAGCTCTGCCACAAAGTAATGGTGTAAACTTGAGCAAGTTACTCAACCTCTCTGTGCCTCAATTTCACCATCTAAAAGATGGGGTAACAATATTACTTACCTCATAGTGTTGTTATGAGAATGAAATGACTTAATACATACTACATGCTTAGAATAGTGTCTTCTATATAGGAAGTATGCTTCAGTGTTTTATTACTATTCCTGCTCAGGCACTCTGGGAGCATAAGCTTGTAGTTATGTACAGTATATTCTTTTCTCCTCCTTTATTTAGAGATATCGAAGGTGACAAAGGACAAGAGAGCCTGCTCTGGGTCTGGGCCAGGTGTCATAATTCAGAACTGGTCAAAAGTCAGGAGCTCACCATGATCTTAGTGTAAAGTGTAATAGGTTTACATTTAGGGAAATTTCCAAAACCCACTGGAAATTAAGGATCAATGATATGAATGAGGCAACACAATTAGATGCCAAGAAGCTCCCAGTTATATCCGCACCCTCTGCTTTCCCAAACAAAACTCAGTGCCAGGGACAAGGGAGGGCTGGGGGCCAAATGATCAACTTGGAAAATCACCTACCTACCCCCAGCTCTTAGGTCCCATAGATCTGGAAGGAAGAAAGTGGACAGAGCCCTTTGTTTCTCAGCACTTGGGCTTTATAACCTAAACTTCAACTCTGGGGAAAGGGTAGTGGTTAGAGCTGTGGAGTCATCACAGACCCAGCTAGAGCTGAGTGGCTTTTCTGGGATATTACAAATTGGTGACCTTCCTCACCTATTTTCCTCAGAGACAAAAACTGTCTTAGCCCACCCACAATCACTTCAAGTCACTATCTGCTGTTCTGTGCTTTGCCATTTCTGATCATGTCTCTTTTCTCCTCATCAGAAATTTATTAGGTTTGCTCCTAATAAAAAAATCCTGAGTGAGCCAGGAGCAGCCCTGTCATACTTAGGAAACATGGAATCCAAGGAAGCAGGCACCTGGATCAATAAAACTCTGATGCCACCATGCTTCCTATTCTTTCCCTGACATTTTGCTTCAGATTGGAAAGTGGTGGGGGTCTCTTGCAAATGGCCTTGAGCTTTTGTACAGGTCATGTCCTGAATAAGAAATACGGGCAGAAGAGCAATTTGCATTGAGTTCAGATGTCTACAAAGTGGTAAATTGGGCCTTTGAGGTTGCCATGGAAACCCCATTTGCTTATAAAATAAAAGAGGTAAGTGCAGGGAGGACAAAGTGATTCCAGGAATTTGATTAGAAACCCAGGCTAGTGGTACTTAGAGGAAGAAAGGGGAGGCTTCAGAACAACATCATCTCCATTTGTCTATTTCAGTACTTTTAAGAGATGATTGACTATCCTTGCAAATAAATATTAAAGTTGACTGGCCTATAATTTTTCCTTTTCTTTCTTGGCCAGTCTGCTCTCTCTCTGAAAGTTACACAGAATAAAATCAATGGCTGCCATTGGTTAGCGCTCACTGGCAAAAACTCTGATGTGCCTTGGGTAGTGAGTTACTTACAAGGCTGGCTTATTTCAGAGTAGAAAGTCAGAGAGTCTTGACTTTGAGTCCTGGATCAACACTTAGTCTGTAACCCTGAGCAATCTGGTCCTCTCAACTGGTAAAAAGAAGACAGTAATGTCTATCTTATAGAGTTGGTTTTAGGATTTGAGAGACACTGTGATGATGATGATGATGATGATTACTATACTATTATTACTATTATTGACTGGATCAAAAAGAGACTAAGGTTGCATTTATGAGAAAGCTAGACAGGCCATTTGATTTCCATATTGAAAATACAGGAATGTACCAAGATATTCTGGATGGTGTAGAGGGCAGGTCAACCTCCAGACACACTCAAGCTAAATGCAGTAAATCTCTAAGGCATGCCAAAAACTTCACCTTTTTTTGAGCCAGTTCGTGGTCAATTTCCTCCTCTCCCAGGCCAATCTCTGCCATCTCGGGTTGGTCTTTCAACTTGTTCAGCAGCTCTGCTTTGGCCACAGAAATATTGTAATAAGCTGAATAAGAGGTAGGGATCCCTGGGGCACCCTGGGGAGGTGAGAAGTGCTGAAACTCTTGTCTGTGGAAACAAAAAATGACCATCTGAGCACCTCTGTTGACAGCCTGCTGACCTTTCTGCTTCTTAATTTCCTCATTTATAAAATGGGACCCTGCTTCACCAAGGAGTTATGAAATAAGGAAATAATGGACGGGGAGGCACTGTTCAAACATAAACAGGCCATGTGAAGGCTCTCTAGAAACCAAGTCAAGGCCAACTTTAAGAACTTAGAAGGCTATTTCTACATCCCTGACTTCCACAGCTGGGGGGACTTCTTTAGAGATCAGTGGGTTTGGTCATTAACACCCCAATAAAATCCAGAAAAAACTAGCAGGCCCCTAAAGTTCCAGGCTTCTGATCATCAATGATTCCCCTTGGTTCAGGGTCCCAGTATATGGATCCTGTGGGAGGGGCTAAGTGGTAGGGACATGTCTGAGACCTTAGCTATTTGTCCTATAAGGCTGTTGGGCTCCATCCTACCCATCCTGGATGCCAGCCCAACCTGGCTCTATCTAGTCTGCTTGCTTATAAAGGCACTCCATGGCTTTCCTGGACACGCTCATCATTTCACCTTTCCTGGTGGTGCCACTCCTGCTTGAAATAACCCCTCCACTGCATCTCTCCCACAGCAAAGAGGTCACCTATGACCTCAGCAGTGGTCACCGTGTTGGAGGATGAGTTTAGCACCCCTGCCAGAGACTTTTCATGGCCCATCACATCTCTCATGAGCTCTTCTGAGATTGCCTGAGGTGGGGCAGGCCTTTGGCCTGAGAAGGGATAACATCTCTCAACTTCTGGCATATCCCCAATGGTCCCAGCCTCCTCCATGGTTGCAGAATGAAATGGGGGGAAATGGAACCAGTGGTGCCCAGGGGCTTGACAAGTGTAACAGCAGACCCTGTTGTCTTGGGTTCACTGAAGGCTGCGGGGTTGAGGTGCTGCTTCTCAGAGCCCCAGCCCATGAAAGAGAACTTCTCCTCAGGAAAGAAGTAGCTCTGGCTCCATGCTGGCTTAGGTTTGGACTCTTCTGCCATCAAAGCTTCTGGTCTGATGTGAGGAAAGAAATGAAATGCTTCATTGTTAGTGTTCAGTGATGGAGGGGCAAATAATTCTGCCTATGGTTTATGTAAAGGGGAGACCCACCCCCCCCCATGTTCTTGTTGCCTACCAGCCATCCCTACCCTCCACCTGTCTGTGTCACTGCCCCTTCACTAACCTCTAGCTGTTTGAAAGGAAAAATAGGAGAAACTCATTAGTCATTTTTGAAGCTATTTGCAGCTCTTAGATAAAGGTCAAAAATAATGGGTAAAAGGCTCCACAGCTATTTACTGATTCATGCTATGCTGTTTCCTAATTCATCACACAAAAGAAATTTGGGCATACCAATATTGCTCATCCTAGGTATTCATTTTACATGTAGGTTTTTAAGCTGATAGCACTGATAAAAGAGCACTACTAGCTAACATTCACATAGTGCTTACTATGCCCAGGAGCTGTCCTAAGACATATACATGTGTGTGTGTGTGTGTGTGTGTGTGTGTGTGTGTGTGTGTGTGTGTGTGTGTGTAAATATAGACATAAAATGTAATGCTCATGACAACCATTTTGTGGATAAGGAACATGAGGCACTGAGAGGTAAAGTGACTTTCCTGGGATCACGACAGTAAATGGCAGACCCGTGATTTAGACCTAGGTGACCTAACTCCAGAATCTGTGCTTTTAGCCACTATACTATACTGCTGAAGGGTCAACTTGACATCACATAAAACCCTGCATGTAAGGAATTTTCTGGCTGGACTGTATCTATGTTAGCAGAGAAGAGAGAACATTCTGGAGGAAATATAAATGTATGAATTTAGGGAATTCCTACCTATAAGAAAAATATTTAGGGGCATGTGTGTGAGTTGAAAGTCAGAAAGTACTGAAAGAAAGCACAGAATTTTTTTTAAAAAAAGGATGTGGCTATCTGTCAATTATATCTCAATAAAACTGGAGAAACATTTTGAAAAAGGATGTGCTAATTAGAGACTCAGTTTCCTAGCAGACATGGTCCTGTACTATATTATAGTGTATCATATCAGGCACTGTGTTCTAGGGCTCCTTTCCTCATATTCTCCATTAATAGAGCAGAGGTTATAGGAGATCTATGAGAACATAATTTGACCTTGATAATGAACTTTGTTGCAAAAATAAGATTCCTTCTCCAGAGCACTGAGAGAAAATGCATAGAGTCCATAAAGCAAACTATACCTGTAATTGAATCAGAGTTATCAGATTTAACCAATGCTCAATAATTCCACTCACCTGCTTCTACATGTATCCTAACGTTTTGTAACTAAAGAGTATGTGGGTTACAGAGAGACTCTAGTTTAACATGGCTGAAATTAGGATGTCTTTTTTTTTTGCATTTTAGATTCAAAATATTACACATCTACTTGCCCTTAACACTACTTTTCCTTACAAAACCTTAAAGGCACTTCCTGCTGGGTAGAACCCTGTGCTCTCTGAGGGTCTGGAATAGGATCTTCTTGAGGAGCCCAGAGATCCTGGAGTGATGTAGTTGGCACAGTGAGCCAGACTATCTGGGTTCTGGCTATCTGTGATCTTCTGCAACTTAATTTATATCCCTGTGTCTCACTTTTCTCATCTAAAAACTGTAGGAAACTAATGGTATCTATTTCATAGGCTTGTTGTGAAGATTAAATCAGTCAATAAACAAATGTGCTTAGAACAATACTTGGCACATAGTAAAGAGGCAAAAAAATATTAGCTATGTCGGGAATGATGTTTTTCCTTAAATCTCCATCACTCAAAGAAGCATCTATAATTGATTTTTTGCAGCCACAAGCCAGGCTTGTATGCAAACAAATGTTTCCCCTTGCATCCCATAGTCATTAAGAAAAAAAAATCTGTGCAACAAGTTACAAGATCTCTAGTAATAGCAATTTCCTTCTCTCTGGACAAGGTGCCAAGATGAATGGAGGTACATAAAGGAGGAAGGACTAGGAGGCTGAAAGGGGTAAGCCTGGGGCCTGTGACTACTACCTCTGGTACACATTGCCTTCTAGGGGACAGGAGGTCTAAGTAAAGGCCTGGCTACTACAGGAGCCAGATCTCCCTGAGAGAGGCTGCCTAGGATGGCAAAAGAAGCATAGATTTTGGAGTAAGATCTGGCTTTGAATCTTTTCTGTGTAATTCTGAGTTAGGTGGTCCCTTATTTTACTCAGCTTTAGTTTCCGCATCTGTCAAATGGGGATAATAATGGCCCATAGGGCCATTGGGAGAATTCAATGAAATAATAGATATAAAATGACTAGCAGTGTCTGACACATATCAAATGCTTAATACGTGATCATTCATTCATTTATTCATTCTTTCTTCAGAAATATTAAGTGCCTACTATGTGCTAGGTTGCCTTCTCTTCTCTCTGCTGTGATAGGTAACAATCCACAGTCACTTTCCACAAATGTTTTCTAATTACAATAAGAATACCCCCCCAGCTAGATGGGCAGCTTGAGAAGCAGCCACTAGGGATCTGACAAATTCTCATAGTGTCTGGGAGCCAGGCCCTGTAAGTGCTGTGCCTGTGGCACCTTAGGCTGGAAAATTTGTCAACTAGCTCCAGATAGTCAAGTAATGGATTTGTCCATCAGTAAAAGACACAATAACAAGGTACTTCTAATAGCAACAAGTCTCAGGCAAGTTCCTTCTTTAAAGGTATTTAAAGGAAGCACTGAAAGGATAGACACCTGCCCCTCATCCCCATCCCCAGCAGAGAGTCTATGGAGCTCTCTGCAGGAGGATTGGCAGAGCCGAAAGCCAAAGCTCTTTTGTTTTGGAGCAAAGAGGACAACCACACATTGTGGGGCACGCCAGTGAGCATTGGCACAGTGAAGGGAACAGTTCTGTGGCCAGAGTACACTCCTTCTGCAGCCTCTCTGCCCAGACAGCTGACCCTGTCAACTACCACTTTTGGTACTACCATTTGCCCACTGAAGCAAATGCAAAGAGGCAGAGGAAACAAGGGTGGGGGTGATGGAGACAGTGGAAGATGAAAAGAATGCCTTTGGCTATTGTAAGGAATGGTCAGGGCATAAAGCATTCAACCCCGGAACACCTTTGATGCTGGGGGGTGGGGGAAGAGTTTAGAAGCTCAGACAGGTCCTAGAGCAGAAGCAGGTCAGGTTGTGAGCTGGCCTCTTGTTCTAGAGATCAAGCAGCAGAAAAGGCAGAAAAGGACCTGAGCCAGGCTTCTGGAAAAGGCCACAAGGCAATAACAGTTTAATGCCTTATTGCTCAGGGGCCAGAAACTGATGCATACCTTAAAGAAAAACTAGAAAAATATAAATATAGTACCTTGATAGTGATATTTAGGGATAAGAACATCAATGACATTTACTGAGTACCTACTATGTGCTAAGTATGGGGCTATGTCTTTTACGTGGATTATCCTCATATTCACAACAACCATGTATCATCATGCCCATTTTCCAGGTGAGAAAACTGAGGCTGGAAATAGTTTAACTGACCAGCCCAAGGTCACACAGCTGGCAAATGGTGAAGGTGGAATTCAAACTCATGCTGCCACCTCTTCAGGGACCTAACGTCTTTCATAAACACTTACTTGGGGGAATCAGTGGTCTCCTGCTCTGATGTTCTCCAAAGCCCACCAATGCCATAATAGCAAGGGGGCAGAGCCTTCTCAGCTTGAGATCCCAAATGGCCCCTTACTGAAGGCAGGAAATTGCTGGAATGGAGAGCAAAGGACTCTTGCTCTGCTGGAAGGCTTTGTGAGCCCTGCCTTGAAGCCTCCAGGTGGCCAAAGCCCAGCGGTTGGGGCTGCTCCAGGACCTCCTCAGGATTGAGGGCACTGGAACCAGTGGTTTCTGAACTGAAATACTGGGGTGGCAGCTCTTCCTCCTCCCCCTCCTCCTCTACCCCCTCTTCCTCTTCTTCCTCTTCCTCCTCCTCTTCCTCCTCCTCTCGCTGCTGCTTTTGCTGCTTCTGCTGCTGTTGCTGCTGCTGCTGGGCTGCACGAAAGAGCCTGTACTTCTCCCAGTTGGGAGGAGGAGGGCGAGGAGGAGGAAAGGCCTTCTTCCTGGCACCCAGAGGATCTGGCTGGATCTCGTCAACTTTGGTAAAGAGCTCCTTCCTATGCTGCCCCCAGGCCCGGGAGCTCTGAGGATCCAAGCTGATGTGGCTCTCTGAGAAGGCCCGGCCCCGCAGTGGGCGGGGCATGGAGGCTAGGGAGCTCTCCTCTTCATAAACGGAGGTTTCCTCTGGTTTTTTTGAGGAGTGCTTGAAGTCTCCAAGGAGGTCAAGAGAAGAGAATGCTCGATAGCTTGACAAGTCCAGTGCTGGGTTCTCAAAGCAAGGATGGAAGGGGGTTGCCCATGAAAAGCTAGCCTTGGAATGAGCCATTTCCCTGCAAAACAGCAGATAAAGATTGTATAAAGCAAGCACGTTGCAGATGGTCCCATAATTTTGGATAACATCATTTATGTAAAATTTAAAACAGCCACAAAACAATATAATACAGGTAGTAAGTGTAGTAATAATAATATATGCTATATAATACTGATAGCTAACACTTACTGAGTGCATACTAAGTGCCAGAGACTGTTTTAAGTGCTTTCCATGTCTTAACTTATTTAATGCTCACAATAACCCTAGGAAGTAGCTATTATTATTGTCCTGATTTTATAGCTGGGGAAACTGAGGCATGGGCAGGTTAAGTCATTGCTCAGCGTCATAAAGCTGGTAAGTAACAGAGCTAGGATTTGAACATGGAGAGTCTAACTCCAAAGTCTGGATATACACACCACCCCACACAAATGTGTTGTGTTCTGGGGCTTGCAAGTGTGGTTATCCTGCTACATCTGTTGTTTTTGTTTTGTTTTTAATTATGAAACATTTCAAATGTTTAAAAACATACAGAGATTGTCATAATAAATATTCATGTTCCCACCTACTGCCCACAATTAGCACATTTTAATACTTTACCATCTATGCTTCATGAATTTTTAAAATAATAATATCCTTTGTTTCACTCCCCACTTCTATTCCCCTGCTGCCTCTCTACATGCAAGCTATATCATGAATTTGGCATGTATACTTTCTGTCCATGTCCTTATACTTGTACCAAAAAACATCGAGCAGGCCATTCACAAATATCTGTTATTTTGGATTTAAAATATATCCTTCTAATGCAGTTCCAATCAGAATTCTCACCAGGACTTTTAACTATAGAATTTTTCTGTTAACTTGCAAAATAAAGCAGGATATGGTAGTCCCCATTTGTCCGCTGTTTCACTTTCCAAGGTTTCAGCTACCTGTAGTCAACCACAGTCCAAAAAATAGTAAATGAAAAATTCCCAAAATAAACAATTCATAAGTTTTGAAGTGCACACTATTCTGAGTAGTGTGATGAAATCTCCCGCCGTCCTGCTCCATCCTGCCCAGGGCTTAAATCATCCCTTTGTCCAGCAGATCCCACCCATTAGTCACTTAGTAGCTGTCTTAGGTTATCAGATGGACTGTCACAGTGCTTGTGTTCAAGTAAACCTTATTTTACTTAATAATGGCCCCAAGGCCTAAGAGTAGAGATGCTGGCAATTTAGATCTGCCAAAGAGAAGCCGTAAAGTGCTTCCTTTAAGTGAAAAGGTGAATGTTCTTGACTTAATAAGGAAAGGGAAAAAATCATATGCTGAGGTTGCTAAGATCTATGGTAAGAACGAATCTTGTATCCATCAAATCAAGAAGAAGGAAAAAGAAATTCATGCCTGCTGTCATACCTCAAACTGCAAAAGTTACAGCCAGAGTGCATGACATGGGCTTAGGTAAGATGGAAAGGCATTAAATTTGTGGATGGAAGACATGAACAGAAAGCATGTTCTGACTGAAAGCAATGTGTTGCACCAGAAAACATGGAGCCTATAAGAAGACTTCAGCAAGGGATCCCCTGAAACAAGAGACTTCAGCCATTTACTGCAAGTAAGAGATAGTTACAAAGATTTAGGAATAGGTTTGGACTGAAAAACAGGAAAGTTACTGGAAAGGCTGCATCTGTCAATGAAGAAGCCACTGCCACGTTTCTGGCAGAGTTGAGGAAGTTGATCAAGGAGAGAGACAGAATTCATATAACTTTTATTACAGTATTTTGTTATAATGTTCTATTATATTATTAGTTATTACTGTTAATCTCTTACTCTACCTAATTCACAAATTAAACTTTATCATCAGTATGTATGTATTTAAAAGAAACATAGTATATATAGGGTTCAGTACTATCTGTGGTTTCAGGCATCCACTGGGGGTCTTGGAATATATCTCCCACAGATACATGGGGACTACTGTATAATAAAAAACATATTTTGCTACAGAAAAAATGGGGGGTAAGTAAGGTATAAAGCATAATATAAAGCAATTATAATTAAAACTGTTTTACTGACTAATAGAACATAATTGAAAGTCCAGAAACATATCAAACTATTTATAAAAATGTCATATATAATTCACCTTCCATAACAAGAAGATACAGATTATTTAATAGATTTTTTTTTTTTTTTTTTTTTTGCGGTACGCGGGCCTCTCACTGCTGTGGCCTCTCCCGTTGCGGAGCACAGGCTCCAGACGCGCAGGCTCAGTGGCCACAGCTCACGGGCCCAGCCACTCCGCGGCATGTGGGATCTTCCCAGACCGGGGCACGAACCCGTGTCCCCTGCATCGGCAGGCGGACTCTCAACCACTGCGCCACCAGGGAAGCCCTAATAGATATTTTTGAGACAATTGCAGAGCAGTGTTATTTGGAGCTGCACCATATATTATACACCAAAATAAATTTCAGATTCAAGAGTTAAGGGTGTGTGTGTGTGTGTATAAAATTTTAATATGTGTTATATGTGTATATATGTATATATATATTCTATAGTTATAAGAAAAAACTATCAGAAAGCTTAAAAACTATGACTTGTGAGGTGAAATAAGACTCTCATCTCATAAGTAATAGAAAAGTATATGCAAGGAAAACAAGTCCAGGTTTATTTAAATATGTATAAAAGTTAAACTTCTGTATAATAAAGAGGGACCAAAGCAAAGGACATCTCTTTAATCTCTGAGTTTAAAGAGTTAAGCCCTCTAAGCCAGAAGATCTGGTTTCCTGCTGTAGTCTGTGAGCAATCAGCATCATGCTAAGTACTGCCTAGTGACAGGAAATTCCAGCAGTTCAATTAAATCATCAGACAGAATATCCATTCAGTAGTCACATTGAAGACTGAGAATATTTCCTCAAAAAATAATAATACACATAATGGTGGCCCAGGTCAGATAGAATGGAAAGCAAAATCTCCTTCATTCCCCTCATCTGCAGTCCCCATCCTGGCTAGCTCATCCCTCATGTGGATCAGAAATTCATAGCCACACATCCCCATTCTCTTCTCATTTGGACCTTAGCCCACCTATAGCTCCTTAAGATTATAATAATCCCTTGTGTATAGACTGTTCCACCTGGCATTTCCTGCCTCAGGAAACAAACAAACAAGGTGGTGAGTGGGAAGTAATAGGATGATAAATGCTATCAGGCAGAGAGGCCTTTCCTGACCACCTTATCTAAAGTAGAGACAACTTATCCTTAATTATCATTTTTCTATTTTGCCTTTCTCAGAGCATACACCCCCACAAGGGCAGAGATCTTGTGTGTCTCATTCATCTGGTACCTACTGCCTGGCACATAGTAGGCATTCCATAAATATTTAATAACTGAGCTAATTCCCAAAAAAACCCCAAGGACCATGATACTCATATCATAAAAAAAGTTGAATTAAAGGGAAAAAGCAATAAACAAGACAAAGAAGGGCACTATAATATTAATGATTAGAAAACACAATTAAGATCTAATTACCCTGAATCTTTATGTACCAAATAACATAGCATCAAAATTCATAAAGCAAATATATAGAAAATACAAAGGTAGAAAAAGCAGAAACAAAATATAAGACTTTTTCAGCTGATGACAAAACTGTATCTAGTCACAATAAAATAACACTAGAAATTAATAGCAAAATGAAAAACAAATACTTCTAGCACACAGAAAATAAAAGGGAGAAAATATTCCCCACTCTAGTCAAAGAGGAGATCTAATCTAAAATTGTAGACTACCTACAAATAACAACAATGAAAATATCAGAAGCAAGAGGATGTGGTTGATTAAAACAATGATTAAAGGAAAATTGATAGTCTTAAATACTTATATTAATACATAAAAACAAATTAAAACAAATGAATTATGCTTTCAACAAAAGAAGTTAAGAGCCACAAAAATAGACCCAAGCAAAGCAGAAATAAAACTAATGGCAGAAATTAATACACTAGAAAACAAATGATAAAACTAATAATTAAAGCCAAAAGCTTTCTTCAAAAGAAAATATAAAACCATAAAACAGATAAACCTCTTGCTAATCTAATTAAAAACCCTAAACGCACAAAATTAGAAATGGAGAAATAACCACAGTTACAAAGTAAATGAAAAGAGTAAGAGAACACTTTGCTCTACTCTATGAAAACAGATTTGAAAACTTAGTTTTCTAGGAAAACATAATTACCAAAACTAATTGCAGAAGAACGGAAATATCTAAACCACCAGTTATCATAGGAAAAAATTTGATAAATTTGACCAAAAAAAACAGCACACTCCCATGATCTTGTGTTAATTCTACCAACCTTCAAGTAACAGACAACCTCAATGCTATTTACACTTTCTGGAATCTAGAGAATAGTGGGAGAAGAAAAGAATCTTGCATAACATCAATACCAAAACCCAGCAACTAGGACATACGTAAAGGAAAACCAGAGACCATTCTCATCGAAGAATACTAATGCAAAACTCACCGTTTTTTGCATTTAAAAACATAAACATTAGAACATTAGTAGATATAAGTAATTTATTAATAAACTACCAACACATATTAAAGGTGAATGCTCAAAACAATTCTTTCTGAGAAGGGTGCGTGATCCAAAAAGTTGGAAACCATTGGTCTGAGGCAGTTGTTCCTAATCGAAGTGGCTCTTAATTGGAATTACCTGAAGATGTTGTTTAAAATGCAAATTCCTCGGCTCCACTTCTATCAATAGAAATTGAGATTTAGTACCTTTGTGGTGGAGCCCAGGAATCTACATTTTAAACAATTTCCCGAAGGGATTCTAATACCAGTGGTTCAGGGATCATACTATGGAAACAAAGGTCCAGGGTGAAAAAGATGGGAGTGTTGTGGTTTGGAGGTAGAGGTTTGGGGATAGAGTTATTTGTTCCAGTTAGGTTGGTTTCCAATCTGTACAGTATGTGTCCCACCCCTCAGCACACACATTCCTACCTTCTGTCCTTGCCTCTCCTGTTCTTCCCCACCTTCATCTCAAATCTAGATCTTATG